GGTGAACTCTAAGGAATCTCCAAAAGCGAGAAAACCTTTGTTCGTAAACTCTAAGTTATTTTTGGTCTAGCCTTGTCTAAGTGTGAACCGTTGGAGGTTTTGCACTTGCGGAGCTTGAAGCATTCAAGTTCGAGCTCATTGAGTGAGCGAAACACGCGTCGAGTGTGAGTTTCTTTCTCTCTCTTCTCTTTATGTGTTCGTGTTTTGTTTATTTTCATCCTTTTGTTTATGTTGTAATTATTATGCACACGATTTGGTTATCGGATTTTGTTTCCGCGCAATGTTGGACACCGCAAAACCCAACACTTAGTTTTGTGGAGCTTTATTTTATTATGTTAAAAATTATATTTACAGGTGATTATTTTAAGGTAAAGTGAGCACGGTCTTAGTGAGCTTCATTAACAAGTGTCAATAGAAGGAAGGTTCGGGATTAGGGAAGCTAAGACGGATGCTTGTAATAGAGCCCTTTCCTTAGGGAAAAAAAATAAATTCAATTCCCAAATTATGTCTCTTTTGTATTATATCCCACCATACTGTCCACGCCACCGGTTTATTGTGCTTTTTTTCGTGGTTTAATTGGAAAACCGCCACTTCAAGTAGTGGGTTTCTTTAGTAGTTTATTGAGGACTAAACTGCCAATTCAAGTGGCGGTGTTCCAATTAAATTAAACTATCTATGTTAATCTTTAAAGGAAACTCCCTTTTTGGGTTGGGAATTTTTGCTTTGCCAAAATTACCCTTCAAATAAATAAATAAATAAAAATAAAAAACTGCTACAAACATAACGTTCATTTTTACATTTCCATTAACTAATAATTTATTTTATAAATTAATTAACAGTTTTCTTAAAAAATTGGACAGTTATATTGCTCATGCCACGTTGAAAAATCAGAACCACATACAAATAAAAATTGCTTTATTATTTTTTTTGGAATACAAATAACCATCTTTTATCATAAAGTTTATATTTTAAAATATATATTTCTTCAAAAAAAAAGTAATTATATATATATATATATATATATATATATATATATATATATATATATATATATATATATATATATAGGAAAGATAACCATATCTTAGGAACAAGTATGTCTATCTATCTATATCTTTTAATCATGGATAATTGTTAAAATTAGGAACAAAATCCACAATAACCTTAAAAAAATAGCATGTCAGTTGTTCATTCCTACTAATTAAAAAAAAAATTAAAAAAAAATACCATCTCCCAATAATAACTTCCCCTTACTTTTACGGTTTATTTTCCTCTTCAATTTCTCCATAAATTATTATCTTCATCGATCCTCAACATTTATTATTTTTCATTAAGTTCCCTAATCTCTTTTATCTTTTTTTTAAAAAAAAATTTAATGCCAGTCGCCCTGCTTGAATAGTCAAGTAATAATTATCTCCCCTCTTAAGTAGTCATCTATTTTTAGAGGCTAATTTAGTTATTTTCTAGAAATTGATGTAATACCCTGGAAATTTCGCCCTTTTAAAATACTCTTTTTATTCTAAATAAAACCCTTTTTAAGAAATAACCAAAATATTACTGCCACCGTTATAACGGCTAAGGCTATTTTTCAAAGTCACACAGCGAAAGACTAAAAATAAAAAATAACTTTCAAAATAAAACTTGAGTTCACAACCTCAAAACGAAAGTAAAATAAAATATTCACGAGTTGGAACCAATCCAAACATGACCCTTTTAAAAACCAACTTAAAATAAAACATAACAATGTTAGTCCATAATCAATATACCAATAATTCAAAACATAAAACTAATAAAGCATAACAAGTAACTCTCTGTACTCATTCCCTTCATGCTCTTCATGCTTCAAGTACCTGTCACTTTCTCGTTATTTCAACCCCTCTACTCACCATATTAAATGGGTCATAGTAGGGCTATTCCAAAGGAAAGCCAAACACAAACACAAAAGTACAAATCAGCAAAAGCTAAGTACATATGCACCACACTAACATGAATATCCTAGCATCAATAAAATAATTAAAACATGCTCGCTATACAATCACAAGTCAACTTACCTTTGACTCATATTAGCAATATTAATTAATAAATAATAATTTTGGATTACGCATCGAATGGGTTTCCTTCTTTGAAAATAGCCCATTTAAATTTTGAGTTTCTAATTAGGGAGCTACCTCAATTGGCACCTACTAGGTCACCTTGTAACGGAATTCCAGCGCATTAATAATAAAAGAAAGTACAGCGTCTTGTACTCATGTAGAAGCTATGGTTAAATATAAAACCCCATAACTCCCCTCATATGTTCATACTCTAGATGTATACGTTCCAAGAGTTTTGGTGCGTATTTTTCTTACACTTTACGTGATTTACCAATTTAACTTGTGATGACTCTAACCAATCAATCAGGAACAAACATAATAACAATCAACATGTACTTCTATTTAATTCTTGAACTAATTAGTGAGCACATACTATTTATTTTAATTAAGGTTCCTTGTCTAGTTTTGTGCACAAAATTGCACGATTACTACCTTGATGCATAAGATGCACTACTAAACTTGCTTGACTCAAACTCAACTTATATGAGTGAGTAAATAATTAAACTAGCTTCTTGACTCAACACCAATAATAAATAGGTGAGAAATAAAATCATGAATCATGCTCAAGAATTCTAACTTTAGCTCTTTTGAACATACACAAGCCTTGCTTATTAAATTCATGCTTTCTTGATACTTGATAATAAATCATACTCCCATGATTCATACATATTCACACTTGTATCATATGCCTCAAATAACATATTCACATGCTTGCATAATAATTCATGATCAACCATCATCAAATTCAAGCATATAATCAACCAAACATGCTACTAATTCATCACTTGAACACACTTCATATTCCTAGCATGATACTACGCATACACAATTAATCTCATGCGCATACGTATCTTGAATAGTGCCAAATCTCGGCCACACTCGCTAGAAATCACCTAGCTCAAAGCTTCCTACAAATAAGAATAATACATAACTATAATTAATCCACTATTCTCACAAATTTCCAGCAACTATAATACAATTTAAACCTTACTAATTAACCCAATTTAATGGTTTAAAGCCATAAAACCTTTTCTTTAAGTGGGTACTTTAAATCCGTTCAAAAAGACTTAGTTTTCATGACTTAAATAAAATTTCAGCATACTTATTTAATATAAAACATCACCAATAGACTAGGAAATCATATTTAAATCATTAATACCTTTTTCCCTTTTATGGTAATCAAACCCTAACACAATAATTAAAAAGTTGTGTGTATAATTAAATTCCAGCATTAAATTGAGGGCTTAAAACTCATAAGAAAAAAAATTTTAAATCATTAATTTAACAATCACAACAACCTAGGATTAAACTCTAACCATAAACATTAAATTCCCAAATTCTAGGGTTTGTATATTGGGGTTTTTGAATCAATTAAAATATGAAAATTATAGGAATAATTTAACAACACCAAATACCCAAAATCAATACCAAAACATAATCAAAATCATGCTTTAAATTAATTAAAACAACTAGAATTAGATTAGGAGAAAGAAAGTTTTTTTTTTTTTTTTTTTTTTTTCCTTTTGTACCAAACCGAAAAGAGGGAAGGAGGAGAGAGGATGGGTGGCGCACGGCTGCTGCCGCTTTTCACCGGTGATGGTGGTGGCGTTGGTGGTCGGCGGACGTGAGGGGAAGAGGAGAGAGAGGCGTGGGAAAGAGAAATAAAAAAGAGAGGAAAAAGGAGAGAGAAAATAGAAGGAAAACTTTTGGGATTTTTATGAAATCTGACAATTATGAATGTTTTTTCCTTTTTTATAATTAGCATTATCTTCATAAAGGTAAATCATCTATTGCAATTGTTGGTTAATTTATTACACTCTTTTTAGATGATTTGGCTTTGTTGTCCCATTTTAATGTTTTTTTTTTTGTTGCATTATTCAAATTAAAGTAGACCTTATATTATTTCAAAAAAAAAAAAAAAAAAAAAAAAAAAAAAAAAAAAAAAAAAAAAAAGGAAAGTAGACCCTATACTTCCATTGTACATCCATTGTTCTTTGTATAATAAGTTATATTTGGCGTCTTTTGGGTTATTTTTAACTCTTTTTATTTCATATTTTGTTACTAATTTAAAGTTATAAGATAACAAAACAAGTTCATCAAGTATGTATGCTACAATATAGTTGTAAAATTGAGCTGTTATAGATATATTTTATGATGTCGCAGGTGTGTTGTTTTGGCAAATTAATGCAGTTTTTTTTTGTTAATATTGTAATTTGTAATGTATAATGCACAAAAAAAGTATTAATAAATTATTTTAGCTTTATGCGATTCAATTCAATTAATACAGTACTTATTGTATGAAAGGAGAACATGACTATCTTTCTTTAATTTATTATAGTGAATGGGTAAAGAGGTCGTTTTTTCCATATATATGTAGAGTGACCATGTAGGTAGTGAGATAACTTTTTCTGCTATATAGTCAGTTATGGATCAAATAGAGAAAATTAATGTACGAGTAAAAAAAAGGTATTAGAACAATGTCATTTATGCATGTCAATAAGTAATAGATAAACTTTTATCTCAAAGCAAATAAATAAATAGATACAGACATTTTTATGTGATAAGAAAAAATGTGTCAAGTAAATAGAAGGCAAAAGGAATAGTGCACGCATTGCGAGTCATGTGAGTGCCTCTAAGCTTGTATAAAAATAAAGCATTCAGAGTTGTGAACTCTTGGTTTTTACAATTGAAAACCGCCACTTGAAGTAGCGGTTTCTTTATTTAAAATCGCTACTTCATGTGGCGATTTTCTGTTGTGGAAACTGCTACTTCAAGTCTTGTTTGACATTATTTTTAGTTTTTAGTTCTCTAATTTTTTTGAAAACAAAAAACCAAAAACTAAAAACAAGAAAAATGTGTCTCTACTTTTTTTTTGTTAGGTTTCAAAATTTCATGATTTTAATAAGTTTGATCAATTTTTTATTCATTATATGACATATATCATGTGATTTTAAAAAACAAAAAACCAAAAAACAAAAAACTACAACAATACCTAACAAACGGGGCAAACTGCTACTTGAAGTAGCGGTCTTCTAGTGAACTGGTAAAAAAAAAAAAAAAAAAAAACACCGGTTTTTTTACCATTTGCTCATGTGGACAGTAAAATGGGTATTTAAGAAAAAGACACTGTTAATATGGAATTGGATGTTTTGCCAGCTTGTTTATGGAAAGGGCTCCTTGTAAAATACTCCGTAGATGGTCTAATAAATACTCAACATTCATAGTCATTTTCAGTTCCATATAGACAAAGGCTAATAATATTGCCTTGTTTTGTTATAATTATAATGACGTTATACACTTAACACTTGTTTTGTTATAGTCACCTACATTTCATCATCCATACAGCCATACATAGAGAGGTTAGGTGGTAGCATCTAATGGTTTACATGCTGCCATTAGTTCAGTTTGTTACATACATATAGCACCCATAACATACTTTGCACATATGTTTGGACATTTGGTTACATTACATAGTCGTCACATACACTTGGTTAATAGAACATAGACTACTACTATTTTACAGATTATAGGTTACTTCATTTTAGGCAAAACCCCACGCACAACTCGCAATGAAGACTGCATATGCACACTTCAGTTAACAAACCAAGACCCTTGCTTTCTCAAACGCAACCTGCAAGCTCTCCTTGCATGCACTGTGACATGGTTTTTGTTATCTGAAGAAACTTGTCTCTTTCACTATCATTCTCCACCTCACAACACCACAGCTCATCTTCCCAATCATCCAACATGATCCCACCACAAGAAAAATTCTCTCGAATTGAATTTAACCGTTCATTAGAAGCCATATAGGCTTTCCCGGCCTCACAAAATGCACGAAATATTTCCTTAAAACGAGCTTCCCTATTCTTATTGTGGTCCAGAAATTTCATGGAGATATCATAGTTGATATCTTGCTCGATAAAAGAAAGAGCAGCTGCTTGTGGTATGTACTCAATTAGTAACAGATGCAAGAGCCTATTATCATCAAGCTGCAAGCAATCAAGACCAGCAAAAGTGTAACATTCCATCATCCCCTTCTTGTGATTCTTGGAACCCACAGACTCCAACAGTGTGATGAGTTCATTTAGAGAGAATTTCGATAACTTCCCAGAGGCCTGTAAGACAGCATCTGTCACAACATGGTCTTCATTTCGCCCGTCTTTCATCAGCACTGTCTGTTTTGGGAGAAGTTCATCTGATTTAAAACCGCCTTTTGAGGGTGTGTTGTCTTCAGGCATGACAAGTGGGTTAAAGTCAGAGAACGTTCAAGTGCTCAAACATTGACAGAGGATACAGATCAAAATCGAATTGGCATGGTTTTTTGAGAAGATATGGGATTTGATGACCAATACTGAAGTAGTATATGCGTATCTATAGAATGTTTTGGATATTTGGCAGAAGAAGAAATTAAGACAGACGAACATAACAAAATTAAATAGTTGGTGCTTCCACGCCCACAGAATGAATCAAAAGATATATATTTTACCTGGTGAAAATTGAATTTCAGCTGGTATTATAGTTGTGGGAGCAGATGCTTCGACATTGTTCACCAGAGTGTCGCCCATATTCAGGTTGTTTTCAACTGAATGAAGAGCATCAGAAGATCTTTGTGACATCCCGTGTGCTATACCGGATGACCCACCCACTCCATTCTCCATCTGTACTTGAACCTCTTCAGAAAAAAAATCAAGGGCACGCCTTGCCAAGGATAGGTTAACCACATCATCAATTTGCATTATGGCTTCAGGACTGAAGGATTCTTGATCTTCCTCCATTAGTTGCCTAAAGTTACAAGCTCCATATGCCTGCAACATTATCAACTATTCATGATCATCTTGGAATGCATCTCAAACACCAGCAAGCCCAATTTTCAATATGACAGAGGGGGTCTCTTCAACTTTTTTTTTTTCCCCCTTTCTTTTTTTTAACTTTCAGCAAGTTTACAATCAATATCCAATCAAACTTGCCCTGATACATAATGTAATCTATATACCCATAAATGTGAAATAAAATACAATGAACAGTTTTAAAGAGATGATAAGCAGCAAGGCTTAACTACACAATGTGAAAAGGATGAATGGCTTCAATGTACATTTGATAATTATTAAGGAACTACTTTATCAAAAAAAAAAAAAAAAAAAACATACAGCGCTGAACATCAACACGCCTGGATTGATCAAATTAACACATTGATCAGTAAAAAAAAAAACAGAAAAAAAAACTCATACAAAGTGACGACAAATACATCATAAATCTGAAAAGTGAACTAACAAAACAAAGACATCTAATAGAGTATAGATAAGCTAATGTTTACAAGAAAATAAAGGAAACAACCACATACTTAGGCCCCATTTGGTTAGATGTAAAACAATTTCAATGAAAAATTAGTTTTTGGAAAATATTTTTTCAAGGAAAACACACTTGCAAGATAGTTTTCCTTTGTTTGGTTCTTACAAGAAAAGTTAAAGAGAACTTAAAAATAGAAGTGGAAATGTGGGGATAAATAAGAGGAAAGTAAAAAGGAGATAAAAAGAAGGGAGGAAAATGTGACTTTCCTTGTTTTGTAAAGGAAAATGTTTTCCATCATTATACATGCAACTTTCCACCATTAGGAAAATCATTTTTCAGCCCTTCTTATTTTCCACCATTGACAAAATGATAGTACATATATGACCATTAGAATTTTAAGGAAAATGGAAAATAATGGGAAAATCATTTTCCATGAAAACATTTTACATCAAACAAAACGGGACCTATGAGCCATAAATTGTAGAATGGCCTACTATATATAAAGAAGGGTTGAAGAATAGGAAAACTAAGATTATGATACCAGGCAAACATATTACACTCTTGTCAATAGGAACATAGCCCTAACGTGAGAAAGACACATAACCCAAGGAAGACTCAACTCGATCTCATGGAATCACATATGATATATCATCAATACCAGTTTTCCCAAGACGGAGGCTAAGTACACCAAAGATTAAAAAAATTAAAGTTGAATTTACATTCTTAAACGGTATAAGAGCCTCTTTATCCCAACAAGTTTCTGAGTGAGATTGAATCTAAAGTTTCTCTCCAAAGGCTCCTGTGGCTAGGGATAAAGTTGGCTGTTTTATTGCGCATCAGGCTGGAATAATAAGAAATTTATCATTGGAATAGATAGAGCAGTGGTGATTGAATTATTTTAGGCTCTGTCCCATAAGCAAGAAAAATAATGGGTTAGGTGGTCGCATGGTTATATGTAGGTGAATGTTATGAAAACGCTATGACATGATTTTATATACCATGTCGTATGTACATTTTTTGATAACTTCATTCCTTTTTCTTTAATACTTTCTCCGTTCTATTAATATTGCAACAATGGACTTTTTGCACTATTCATCACTCTTATTTGACCATATAATATGATTTATATGTTAAGTAAAATATAGTCATGTGGGATCTTGTTAGATTCGTCTCATAAAATACTTTCAAAATATCAACTTTTTATAATTTTTACTCTTATACAATTATAAATATTTAGCATATAAAATGTGTTTTGGGATGCGTAATTTCATCCTTGTTGCAATATTAATAAAACGGAGGAAGTATATTTTAATTTGCAAACTTATGGTTTAGATGGTTGCATCCTTGCATGGTTATTTATTAAGGTGAATGTTATGCAAATGCCATGACATGACTTTATATACGTACATTTTCCAAAATTCCATTCCTTTCTCTCTAATTCATTGTGTTTTGCAAACTTTTCTCCCTTGCACATATATTATTCGCTAATCGCTCGCTTTCTAAAGGTTTTATTACTCCCATAATAATTTTTCCTCCTCTCTTTACATCTCCACTTAGCCTTCTTTCATAAAACTTTCTCAATATTTATTTTACCCTTCTTTTTGGGTTTCAATTTTACACCACTCTCATTTCTTTTGTTTTGTATGTTTTCTTTCATTTTCTTTCACTTTTCATAGTTTTTCTTTAACCTATCTCCTTACTTATCTTGTTTCACTTAATGTGGAATGACCCAAATGATGATTCATGTTAACCAACTCCAAAAATGTGCACAGTCTAGTTGTTGTTGTTGTTAATCTAGTCAACTAAGAGTAGCCAACTAAGAGCAGCTACAAACAAATGCCAAAAAAGCGGCAAGCTACAAAAAGTGCCAGCAAACAAGGATGATTGGCGTTTGTTTGTAGTTGCACTTGTTTGCATGCCCAAAGATTAAATATTTTCGTAGCTGCGTTTAGTTGGGTTGGAAGTGCCAAAATCAGCTAGAAGGCAGGGTGGCTGAAACTCCTTCTACGCTAATCTTGATTTGTCTGTTGGCACTTGTATAGTAGTGGTTTGTTTTACTTTGCATAATACTGCTTGCTTTGGTTAAGTAGAATTTTATTTGCAAATTCAAAAAAATATAAATTATTAGGCCTCCAAGGACATTAGCTCAATTCCTGAAGAATAGTGGTATCATCACCCATTCGCCATGTTAAAGAGTCCTTACATTATTTATAATGTTAAACAATAAAACATGACTTTACAGGATATGGTAAGAGTATGAATGTTTGATTAAACATACTACCTTTCCTCAGCTTCTTAAAATTGTACTAACTATATCAGCTTCTAAAAGCTCGTATGAATTGAATTATGGAACTGTAAACACCTAAAATTAGACAATTATACATTTGGGGTTTATAAGGAAAGGCATGGTGTTATAGACTTATGGTCAAACACGAAGATTAATGTAAGAGTAAAAAAGGTATTGGAAAAATAAACTTTTATCTCAAAGCAAATAAATAAATAAATAAGTACAGACATTTTTATGAGATAAGAAAAAATGTGTCAAGTAAATAGAAGGCAAAAGGAATAGTGCACGATTATGTGCGCCTCTAAGCTTGTATATGTAATATGGAAAGAAAAAACAAGTAATAAGAGGTGGGTCAAGCAATACAATATATCCATACTTCTGGCAAAAGTTTAATCTTTTTCAACAATCAGCTATACTAAGGAAATATGAGCAACTTACAGCAACTAAGTTCATTTGATAAGACCAAAAGAATACCAAGCAAAAATAAAATTCGATTTCACAATACTTATACTCTCGTACTCCCTTTGTTTGAATTTATTATAAGTCGTGTTACTAGTTCAAAACATCAAATTACAATATTAATGTAACTGAATCTATCTCGGGCGTAACACTAGGCTGTAATTGCAAACAAATGGAGTAATGTATTTCTTCTGGTTCCCAGCTTCCCTCATAGACCATGGCAGGGGAAATACTAGAAATCTGCCTCTTTCTAGAGGTGATCAAAAATTAAGGTCGGACCAGACCTTAACATCATATTTCGTGTCCAAATCCACAAAGAAGTGCGGATTTGACGGGTCAAAACGGGCTTTTCTGACTGAGTTCGGATTTTAACTAAATATGTGTTTTTAGGCTTGTCTAAACTCACCCTATTTTCGGGCTGAGCTAGCGGGCTGGGCCCGATCACCCTCTACCTCATCCAACAAAGAGACAATAAACGGAGCAATTTGACTTCTAAATCAATCCCATTAATATATACTACTAAAAGATACAAACATAACAATCAATTCAAATAAAAAGGGAAACCTTAAAGCCTTAAACCAGAGTACTTTATAAACAAACAAGATGATCCAAAATTAATCAACAATAATTATATCTTGTACATTTTTAGAAAGAACAATATAGTATACAAATTGCTAACCTTTTTAATAGGGCAGATAAAATAACTATGCCCATTTTCTTTTAGAAAACCACAAACTACGGCCCCACACCCGCAAATCGGATACTGTTTGGGTCGAACTTCCAGAATCTCTTCCCTTTTTAACATATCGCACCATTTAAAATACTCGCAATGATATTCCTATATTAATATAATAATTACTCCATAATTAGTTAATCAAACAAAAATACATAATTCATTTCAGACCAACATAATATTACGGAGTAATTAGAATACTAACAAATTTCCCCGGACAGCAATAGTACTGGCGACCCGGGTTAGCCGAGCTATGAGAGACCCGTATCTCACACAACCCGGCACCGCAGGGGCAGTGGGTGGATGGGTAATCGAAGGTAGAAGTAGGATTAAATACGGGGCTTCGATTGTTAATCGGACTCCGGTTTTTAAACGGGCTTTGAACCGTTTGAGGGCAGTCTTTGGCCCAATGACCCGGCTTTTGACACCGGTAACAATTACCGTTGGTGATTTGGTTGGGTGATTGTTGCAGCGTTTGTTGGAGTGGTTGTTGGAGGGATTGATGCATTTTTTTGAAACTTTAGGTTTTTTTTTGGAAAAGATGGGAATTTGGAGAATTTTGCATGTTGGGTGAAAATGAAGGGGGGTTTAATAGTTTTGGAATTCCCTAAAAAAAAAAAATGGAATTGAATGTAAGAAGTGAAGTTGTAGCAGTGAGAATCTAAGAGGAAAGATATGTCTTAAAATTAAAAAACAGGAATCGGAAAAAAGATCCAAGTTGAGATACTACGAGTCTATGAGCACAGTGTAAGTACTGGACAAAGACTACAAACGCTCTTCTACTTCCTTAGTTCCTTTAGACTTTTGTACTCGTATTGTTTTAATCAAGTCAAGTACCTTTTTATGTTGAGTTGTCATTGATTGGAGACTAGGAGTCTAGGACTAGAAGTACTCCTTTCATCTCACTAAGTTTAATTTTATTTGCATGGTGTTCAATATGTACATTTGAACATCAATCTTTTTAATTACGAAGTTAAATACGTAACAAAATTTATAAGTTACTGAAGCTGTAAAACTAAACACTGAAGCATATCTAATAATATTTCGTATTAGAAATTTTTTGTATAGATTAATGTGAATATTTCATATAAGAACATTGACGCGTATCATGAAAATGGAAATAGGAATGTAATAAAGGAGTTTTAACTACTATATATATGTGGTAAAACTTAATCATATTCAATTGGCTAACCTGAAATCACTTGACACAATCATCTCCATACAAACATGATAATTAATGTTTCTAACCTCCCTCCGTCTCTGTTCTAAAGTAATATTTCCTATTTTATATGGTTACATTTCTATTTCCAATAATATTTTTACATACTTACCTGTATAATTAATATTCTCTTTCCAATCCAACTATCCTCATTTACAAAAATATTTACATAACACCAAAATATTTATCTAATTTACAAAAATATTTACATAATCTCAAAACAATTATTTCTATTTACCAAAATATTTACCTACCCCAAAGCAAATATTTCACTCATTAATATCAGACACGAATTTGTAACATTTTCATTTTTTTTTCCACTCGCCAATTTTGGATATTTAAGTATTTAACTCAAAAGAACATTTACTTTTTTAATAGGGTAATCCTATATGTAGCCCTTAAGGCTAAGGATAAGCATTTAATATATTTCTTAATTTGGTATTGATTTAGAAATGTATGACAAAATCACGCGCAAATGAGTGTAATTAATATTATTTTTTTTTTTTTCATTTTTAGCTCTTTATATGTAGCCCTAAGGGCTGTGTATCTTCTTTTTAACACAATTGGAGTATTGGTCCCAATATAAGCATTTATGTTCGAACTGTTTTTTCAATGACCAGATTAGTAATTAAGCTTTGGATTTTGAAAATTAAACTTGTACTCCATTCGTTTCGTAATCGTAACACTTTTCTTTTACATTTGTTTCATTATAATTGCAACACTTTCTTATTTGATAAGGAACCACTACTTTTTTTTTTATTATTTTTATTTAGTTCCAACCCCACTTACACTTTTTTTTTTTTATTATTTCTCTCTCTTAACAATTAAATATATCCACAATAACTACACTTTATATTATAAAATTTACCTTTTGGTCTCCACCCCATAATTTTTCTTAAACTTTATGTAACACCTAGTATCGCAATTATTACGAAACGGATGGAGTAATAATTTTTACACAAAAATAGTTACAGCTCATTTACACTTCTACAAACTAGAGGTGGGCAGTGTGACGTGCCTCGCCATGCCTGGTGGTGGCTCGTGCCCGGCCGTGCTGTGTCGGATCGTGCTGGGCCGTGCCTGGCGTGCTGCGTGCCATGCTGGAGGGCCGTCCTGCGGGCCAAATTACCGTGCCCGTGTCGCCCGCGGGCCAGCACGACCCATGCCCACCTCTACTACAAACAAAGTAATTTTATTTTATTTATTTTATTTGAATAGTCAAAATCAAAGTGAAATAAGTTTACTACGGTGTTTTGCCTTAAAATTGAAAATGAATTTATCCAATTAAACGGAGCCTTAAAGGCGTTTACTTATGGATTTTGTTAAATAAAATATTATGTAATCATATGTGTAAAACTTCCAACGCAGGCCCAGCGGTAGAAATCTATTAGTTTTAACGAAGGCCGCGGGTTCGACTCCGCCTGACAACGTTGTCATTTTTCTTTTTGATTTTTTGTGCTTTTACTTTTTATTTATTTATTTGGTTTTGTTTTTTTTGGCTTTTACATACTTATCACATCAATTGCCAGTTATCCAAAAGGTTTTTTTCTTTCTCTTGTTTTTTTTTTTGGCATTTACTCTTTCATTTTTTTACAAAGATCACTACCAAACAAAAAACGCACAAACTAAAAAGACCAACAAAGGAAATGACGTTGTCGAGCACGCACTACCAGCCAGTGCGCGGGGGAAACCCATCCCATAGGAACCTTATAGATCCTCCAAGCAGAAATTTGAAGAAGAATGTCCTTAATATCATCCAAGCACAGGAAAATTAGTCGAACCAGTGTGCCGGACAAGGAAACCAAGGCAGCGCAATCCGTATAGATGAGAAGGCGAAGATAGCCCTTATAAATGGCTTCCTTAAGAGCTCACAAACAAGCCTGAAGTTCCGCCTGAAGAGAAGACGCAGTTCTACAGGCCCTAGCACTTCCGCCAAGCACCCTATCCGAATGAACCTCCCTAAACATCCAACTGGCCCCTGCACTATGTCCTGACAGTTCCAAGTACCATAAAAAAGCAGACAATGGTCAAGAGGATCAATAGGACCACCTCTCACACACAATGACACATAAGTTCTCCGTGGAGAAGATCGACACCTGTGGGAGGAGGAGGGCTGACTTTGAAAAACTCCAGCCTGAGAAACCCGAGCAACCCAGTCCGCAGAGAGATGGAAGATCATGGAAGGAGACCAAACTACCTGCCTGAAAATGCATTGATTACGCGTAAGCCAAATTGCTCAGATGAAGCAGACAAAAGACATGAGACCTCCAAAATTCTTAAATCGCTGAAAGTCCGATATCAAATCTGTAAACCACTCATTAAATGGTTTAACTCGCAGAAGACGACCATCAAGTGCCGAAGGACCTTGCTCCCAAAGCGGACGTATATACGGACAATCACGGAAAAGATGAGAAACCATCTCGAAATCACCGTGACAGAAAATGCACACCGAATTGGCAGGAAGACCCTTCGAACACAAAATTGACGATAGGGGTAAAGCATCATGCAACAACTTCCAAGAAAACTCCTTAAACCAAGGAAGGAGAGGCAAACCGCAAAAATCGTTGCCACCAAGAGGCAGGAGCTGGTTCACTAACAACCGAATGCTTGGACTAACCAGCAAAGTATAAGCCGATTTTATAAAAATTCGATCATCCCGTGTAAACTTCCAATAAACAAAATCGTCCATCGGGCGCTAAGGCCGCTCCGTCGAAAGAATGCGCTGAGTCGAATTACTATCAAAGAGCCGATGGATCTTAGAAGAGTCCCACGCGCCAGAACTAGAGCTGTCAAAAGCTGACCCGACCCGAAATACTGACCTTTCTAAACCCGGAAAAAATATGACCCAAACCCGATATGACCCGACCTGAAACCAACCCGAGACCCGAATTAACCCGAGTATTTGAGACCCAAACCCGAACATAACCCGACCTGGAGATGACCCGACCCGAAGATGACCCATAAAATATTGACTTAAACCGAACCCAACCTGAACCGTAATTGACCCAAACCCGTTTTAACCCGTCAAAACCTGAATTTAACCCGACCTGTTACTAACCCGACCTGAATTCAACCCGACCTATTCCTAACCCGACCCGTATTTAACCCGACCTATTACTAACCCGACCCGAATTTAACCCGACCTATTACTAACTCGACCCGAACTTCAACCCGATCTATCACTAACCCGACCCGAAATCAACCCGACTTGTTATGGACCCGTCCCAAATTCAACTCGACTTGTTATTGACCTGACCTGAAATCAATTCGACTTGTTATTTTATACATCTTTATTATTGTAGATCAGATACTGAATAAAGATATATGCTATATATATATTCTAAGCTACTCGTTATGTCAAAACTTCGTAAGGCTAAAATTACTCAATGTTAATATTGATTAAAGTATTTTGTCTTGGATGCAGGGAGACCAAGTCGATCCAGCAAAAGAAAGAAGCATCATCCCCAAATTTAGGTGTTAATTATAGTGTATATATATATATATATATATATATATATATATATATATATATATATATATATATATATATATATATATATATATTTGTTGTACATATATATACCAAGTCTCATATCTTAACCTTAGTGTACATGTACATATATGCATCTCTTTAATTTAGTATAAACACTCCACATACACATCAAAATCAATTAAGAAGAAACATTTATTTGTTTTATATTCAACTACTTAATTATAATTCAGCTACAATGAAGCATTCCAAAAATAAGAAGACTGTGACAAGACCGTGTAGTCTGTGTTGCAAGTATTTTGAAATGGATGAAATATATACTTCCTTTGACTGTTTTTTTTTTTTTTTTTTCAATATACCTAGTTAGGCTTTTATATAAATCAGCTAAATACAGCCATAAGAAGAAACTTGTTGCTTAATATACATAAATTCAGCTTAAAGCTGAAGCCCTAAAATATACTACGTATTATTTTTTAAGAAAATAAAAGAATTATATGTACACCTACCTAAATAACTCCTTGCAAATAAATAGAAAAAATACTCCGTAGAACTGAGATACCCAGCACAAATAATCTACACATAAGCTATAATCACATTGTAGATTGGCCAAGCCTTATCTCAGCGGCGATGACAGCAGCAACAGAAGGTGGTAAGTGCATTAGACTACTACTACTTTGCTCGTTACTTTTATCCGGTGCTGTCGGAGGTGCTACTGCAAACAAGGACACGGCATCTTTCAATGTTAAAATAGGCTGATCTTGATTCTTCTTATTCCCACTAATAAAAGAGCTGGAATTTCTATTTAAAGACAATTTGTAAATGCTTTCTTCAACTGTATCCTTAATCTGTTCAGCCAAGGGATAAAGAAGTGAAGGTTAAGACTCTGAGCAGAATGAAATTGAGCAAAGAAAAACAAATGTAAAAATAATTGTTTATTTAAAAAAATCCCAAGTTTTCTTCACAAAATAGTTCTATTAACAACAAACTTGAAAACCCAAAAAAAACATGCAAGAGAATAACACTAAAAACTCAATAGCCATGATACTGAAGTTATAAATATAAAATACTTTCAAAAGTGGAAAACACATACTAGGAATCGATGAACAATAGTTTTACTAGTCTGCCCAATGCGGTGCACTCTGCTGATTGCTTGCGCTTCAGCTGCTGGATTAAGTAGGGGCTCAACAAGAATGACA